TGAAGTTCTTACCCGGTAAGTGAAGGAGAAGACTCCATTTACTAAATGCTTACCGAATAAATGTTTATTGATATTACTTACCTTACTGATTGATCAAGACAAGGATCGATAGTCTTACCCGGTAAGTGAAAGAAACGACGACTCTTACCCGGTAAAATGGTTACTGGATTTAAGATGCTTACCAACAATACAGTTTGATGGTTGATAATGTTTCATGATAAAGTAAATGAGGATGATATCCTTTAATAGTAAACACTTACTCAGTAAGCATTTATAAAATTTCCAAAGAATTTGTTTAAAAAAAATGTCTGTTTGATTCACTAAATATAGCTTTTGAATTGGAAAGAAATATTGGTAAATGACCAAAATACATTTTTTGAAAATTTTAAATTTTTTCAAATTAAGAAGACTTTAACAAAATGATCATTTAATGTGTAAAAGAATACAGCATCCCTAATGCAACATAATAACAAAAGATTATTAATGCAAGAACAAAAATTGAGCAGAAAAAAACATCGAGTTCTAGGTTGTTATTATATAGGAATGGAGCAAAAAAAATAAAGCAGAAAAATCTGTTATTAGTAAAAACAAGTAGGAAAAATGACTGACTCGAGCAGGAAAAATCAAGTAGGAAATCTGTTATTATTGAAAACGAGCAGGAAAAAAACAAGTGAATTGAGCAGGGAAAAACGAGCAGGAAAAAAAAGGATATTATGGAGCAGAAATCGAAAGTAGAAATCGAGCATATAGTAGAGAGAAATCGAGCCTGGAGAAGCTATAGAGAAAAGAGAAATCAAAAATCGATGCAGTGGAGAAGGAGGTATGCAACTATTTTATCATAACAAAGTTTAAGGGGTATATTTGGGATTATGAAATTAGAACATTTTATTCCATCAAAATACCACCATATTGCCAAGTAATGTTTAAATCCCTTATATGTGGAATTCAATGAATTTTAAAGATTATTTTTCTGAAAAGAATGAACCAAACGAGGGAATGAAATTTGGTCAACAGAATTCAACATTCCAATTCCATTAAATTCTTCTAGAATCTGCAAACTTAAGTTAAAATGAAAATAGAAAAAATCAAAAAACAAGTTCGGGGTTTTTAATCCATATCTAATAACACTTCCCGATAACCAGAAAAGTCCCTTGCCAACTCTACTCGATGCCAACTTCTTTAAATTAATGTGTACGCTATGAACATTACAAAAAATCGAAGGCCCCGTGTAATGACACCACTGACACATCCGAGGATCGTCCTGCTTTGCATCTCAAAAAATTTCAATTCAATAATAATGATGTTAGAATGGTTGGTTTTCTAAAGTTAGAGCAATATCTTTAGTTAGTTATGTATGTATATATGTATGCATGCATGCATGTATGTATGTGTGTGTTAGATGATAAAAGATAAGTTGATCCTCTCTAATAGAAACACAAGGTTCAAAAACTTTATTTACAATCAATAACTTTAAATCAAATTAAAAATATTTTTAAAATTTTGGATGATCCATTATTTGAGGAATATAATCTCATTGTCTATCCATATGGAACAGGTTGTTACAACTCCCGTACCACTTAAATTGGCTCATTGAGATCAGTAGTCGCAAAAAGTCACTAAGTCGCTGAGATTAAATTAAATTACGTATGATGGATTTTAAAAGTTATGTCAACAAAATAAATTTGGTCGACATTTTTAAGACAAGATGGTTAAGAATAGAGGTGGCCAATTGGGACCGGTTTAGGACCGACCGTTCAGGACCAGTTACGATATTCCACCGAAAACAAGGCCTAGCTATGCGCCAGCCCATTTATGTATTTTAAATTTATTTATAAATAAATTTATAAGTACGTTTTTAAATGTATTTTTAAGTGGATTTGATTGAAGAACAAAATGTATTTTTAAGTGTCTTTTATTAAGTGTATTACGATAAAAACGTATTTTTAATGTATTCGGTTGACTCAGTTTAATATTCTAAAGTATATTTAATCGGCCAAATTCTTTATAACAGAAACGTATCTTGTTAGTGTATCTGATTGACCCAATTATAATTAAAAAAAAAACGTATTTGTTAATGTATTTGATTCACCAAATTCTTCAAAAAATTATTTTTATAAGTTAAAGATCAATTTTTCAAAAAAATAAATGGGACCGACTTGGATCCGGCCCGGAGAACCGGACCTCATACACCTTAACCGGAGGACCTTGTCTTTTAAACCCAAGTTGAGCCAAGAAAATAAGTGGGCTCAGATGATTGTGTGGGTCCAATAAGAGTTGATGGTTGACCCAATTTACTCAGGCCCAAACTTGAAAAACCAAAATTATTAATGATAAATCATATTCATGAAAATGTCATGATTAATAAAAATGTGTGATATTTATAAGTATTTAAATACATTCACCATATGAACAATTCATTACTAATTTTTATTTTTATGTTTTTATAAATATTTATGGTTTTTATAAATGAACTTTCCCATATATTTGAAATATGCTTATAAATATAGACTTGTTATGTTTTAGTGTACGTAACATAGATAAAGAAAGTATGAAACCGATCAACTGCAAAAGCAAGATGAGATATAAGTGATGGGACCGTTGAAGCAAGTGCGATAGATTTACTTTGTTTGTATTGAAAATGTATTAATGTCTGAAGTCTTATTTCACTTCTGAATGATAAAAGGTAGTGTTGAAGTTTGATAGTAAAATCAATAAAACTGTTTATTTTTGTAAACTGATAGATGTTTGAATGTGTGTAATTCAACTTTTACTCATTAATTTATGTAAACTATATCTAAACTATAAAACTAGCAATCTATTTTAACGAATTTCGCTAATAATATTTAAATAAATGCAAAACGTAAATTAATTTTCAAATTCCATAAAATAAAGATCAAATTATGTTTAATAATTTGTACTATATTATAAATCATTTGATAAAAACTCTTAAAAATCACTTTTTATGTGTAAAATACTGTTTATTAATGCATATTACTTAAAACTCAAGATTACAAGTAGATTATGTATAAGTACAACTTATTAAAGCTATATATCTCAATTCGTGTAACTAACTGCAGATAAAAATAATCAATTCAGGATAAACATCTCATTTTAAATATAAAAAATACAAAATATAATTAGGATAATCATTGAGTTCTAACATAATACTAAATTATTATCTTTATAAAATGTTATATTATTAAATCAAAAATAAATTGTTTTATTATTAAACTTAAATTAAATTATAATAAAAAATAAATTAAAAAAATTACATAARAAATGAAAACTTTTAAATAGTTGATATGATATTAACATTGATATATATTTTTTTTCAAATATATATTTTATTCAAAAATAAAATCATTATTGCTTTCTTAAAAACACATGATCTATCTATACTATATTATAAAACATTTAACAAAAATTCTTAAAAATCATTTTTTATGCATGAAGTACTGTGTATTAATGAATATTACTTAAAATTTAATATTACAAGTAAATTATGCGTAAGTACAATTTATTAAAGCTTCATTTTTTAATTCGTATAACTAACTATAGACCAACATAATCAAATACAGGATAAACATCTCATTTTAAATATAAAAAAATCTAAAATATAATTAAGATAGTTATTGAGTTCTAACAGAATCATTATCTTTATAAAATTTTATTGTTAAGCCAAAATAAATTACTTCACTAAATCATAAAAAAACACTATATTTTTCAAAACCACATAAATCGTATTATATCAACAGAGACAAAAAAACAAAACGAAACATTAAAATAAAGATATATCTTGCTGCATTGTGCGAGTACCCTTATAGTTTAACAAAATTGAAATACGTCAAAATATAAGAATTTGTTTTTAAAATAACTGTATATTATTAAGTTACGTTTAATTCCTCTAAAAAATTACATGAATTAATTCTAACATTTATATATATATAGAGGGTTGGGTTCACGTGAAACCAAAGGTTTTTTGTGAGACCCGTAAGACCAGTTTATGTTCATTGATCAAATTTATAAACTAATGATCTAATGGTCTAAATTTGCAAGGTGGCAATTTTGTAATTATTGAGAAGTCTCGTGGCGTTTATAAATGTTCAGATCTGACGATTGTAAATCTAATCCTAGGGTTGAGAATTGGTCTTATGGGTCTTACGAAAAACCATTGGTCTCACATGATCTCAAGTCTATATATATATATATATATATATATATATATACTATATTATAAAACATTTGGCTAAAACTCTTAAAAACTCTTAAACTCTTAAACTCTTAAAAACTCTTAAACCCGTTCATCCCTATCCGATTTCATCACATATCTGAATTCATGTAACTAACTGCAGATAAACACAATCAAATACAGGATA